CTCTTAGCCTTCGGCAGTCCCTCTATATGCTGTGCAGAGCATGAACAAACCAAAAGACACAGACATACATGAGCATTGCATCCAACATCCTGTTTCGAAGTTTGTCCGTGACATTCTCCCCCACTTATTCCTTCGACGTCCTCGTCGAAGCCTTTGCCGACACTGCAACTCCTTGCCTTTGCTGAGTCTTCAATCTCCTGCTCCAACTGCAATGCACCTCCTGGCTCCCAGCTGCTCTCCGCTGTTGTTTTTGAGTAGTCGAACCTTTGATCCGCCATGCTGCTTCAACTCACCAATGACTCTGACTCTAGTGTGGGGTTGGTTGAGTTGTGTTGATCCTTGTTGGTTCCTGCGGATCCTCCAAATGAAGGAAAAGACCATCCTTACTGTGCCAGTCTCTCAAAATTCCACATGCTGCTTGAATTGGGTGGATGCTTGTTGGAGCTTTAACGAGCATCCTTTCGCAAACTTCTGAAGTTTTGGGTCCTTCCTCCACAAAATTTGTCCATTGACTCTTTTTTCGTTTAGTTGTCACCTCCATGTAGGTTCGCAACACTTCCGCTTTCGATTGGCATTTCGTTGGGAAATGAAGCGGACAATCTACTCTCAGTAGCACTGATCACCGTTGGTGAGGATTTGACAACTATTGTCTTCCATTATCTTCGAAGGGTCTTTGAACTTGTGTAGAGCTCCTCTGCTGGATAGATAAGAGAATTGGGGTACTCGGTTTTGCCCATTCTCTTAATAGTTGAGAAGGCAAAGGTTACTTGACTTCGCCCGCCTCCTCGAGGTTGTACTCCATGCATCGAGCTGGTTACTAGCCTTCGCCTGCTCTTTGCTCACACTTCTGAAGCACTTGAAGTGTTTGCACTCCTTGCATTGAGTTAGTTACTGTGATTCACCTTCTCAATGCCATTGAACTTCTGGAATGCCGGAAGTTTTCACCCCAACTTGGAGTAGTTCATTGATAGATTTGGTCGCCCCTGGGAATGTACCGTCTTCTCCATCAACCCTGCCGCCTACTCCACTGAGTAGCAAAGGTACAGCACCGCGTACTGTCTGCTTCGTTCCTTGGTCGTGCACTCTTGCATGACCCGAAGTCCTTCTCTTTCGGCTATCTTGATGAGAAGCTTGTTGACACCGGTCTTACGAAGTTCCTTGGCCTCGCCCTTCAGCCTTGTCTCAGTACATGGAGTTTGCCTCTGCGTACTCCATCTCCTCGGCCCCTTTCACGACCAAGCGCTCTCCCTCCATGAGAGCAAGGGATCAATGACTTTCACGAAAGTCCCGCCTCTGCGGTACCATGGCGCTGCCATGCCCATGGCCCTACTATCCATCGCCTCGCATCTGCATCCTTTTTCTTCACAATCAGTAGATATGTCTCTGTGGCACTCCTCCGAGTCCACCTCCATTCTAACTGATGCTTGATTTTGGGTAGCTAAGTCCCTCTGGACTCGTCGTCGCTTCCTCGCCCTTTTTCGACCCCCTGCTTCAACACCTCTGGGTTCTCCAAGCAGATCTCTTTGGTCGACGGAAAGACAGACTGCAACCCCCATGCATGGCCTCTGCCATCACGTTGTAGGATTTGCACCGATTCTGTTCTCCTTAGCTTCCTTGGTAACAACGTTCGCTTACTCGACCTTGTCCTCTGACTTGTCGGGCTCCCTTAAGCGAATATAGTTCTGGAGCAGTCCAACTCTCCAGCTGCTTCGATCATAACTCTGCATGATCAAGTCCCTCCCATGGGACTCACTGGTCCTTACATTCGAACTTCTCCCTTGGTGGAACACAGCCCCCATATGCTGATGACCAAGGCTTTCACCCGATGCAAAATTCGATGCACGCACGGAAGACCCGCCTCTGCGGTACCATGGCCTTCACTCCTTGAATCCATAGCCCTTCTTGCCGTCGTGTTGTTCACCGAAGTGGAGCTTCCAGTAGCTCCTGATCATACCTCCATATGATCAAGTCCCTCACGGGGTGCTGTGTGTATCGTATTGCCGCGAACTATTCCACCACGATCCACTGCACCATGTTGCCTCCTAGTGACATCTCCATTGCATTCTGATCCTTGTGGGGTGAACTCGAATTGTGAACCCTCCATGTGTGGCCTCTGCCAATACATCGCAGGGTCTCCTCCACTTTCGACTTTGTTCGCTCCTTTGGCAATCGACCTTCATCCACCCACTCTTGGGTCACACTTAGATGAAGCACCGCTCTAGGACAGTCCATCGCCTAGTAGCTCCCGAAGTCCACCGACTTCGCTGAAAATGGTGCACCATTGTCTGGATCCTGGGTCTCTGCCCCTACCAACACAATCTCCGCTGCGCACCGCTTCCTTCAAGCAACTTGAATAGAAACACTGTGGCATATTCTTCAAGAGTACCCGCCTTCGCGTCCTCTTGCCCCGTGCCAAGGCCTTCTGAACCCAAGTTCGCCTCTGCGAGTTGAGTCGCCTTAGTTCCTTCGCCAAATGCTTCTCTGAGATAAGGTGCATGTGCCCAGAAGCTCCCTTCATCTTTGGCACCATGCAAGGTGAGTCCACTCCAACAGAAAGAAGGACCCATGGAACAACATGATTCTGCTCTTGCCTCTGCAAGAGTTCATGTCCTTGACCTCTGTCCAGGGAAAGCTCTGCGCCTCCGCTCCATGTTCCATCTTCTATGCCGACTCACTTCATACGGCTTGGGTACTTCGCCAAGTCACACCCAAGTTGCTCCGCTCCTCGTTTTTGTATTGCGTTGATGGTGGCCCTCGCGCCCACCATTCCACGGGTCAGCCCTCCCTTGAGTCCGATCTCCATATCGACTCCAAGTGTGCCTTCATTTGTGTTGCTTTTGGTCGCTCCCCCACTTGATCTCGCAATGCATCCACCAATGCATTCTCTCAAGCGAGATCATGCGACGACTCCTCGCCGCTCGCTCAGTCTGTTGAGCTTCATGAAGTTGTTGAAGGACTCCTCCTCAACATGTGCGGTCCGTTGCACATGATTCTCCCTCTGGAGAGCCGGGACTTATCCCTCCTGGATATCTATCCCGTTGGAGCAACATCTCTCTTCAATTCGGAGACCACCATCCCCTTGGACTACTCCGATTTGCCGAACAAACTGTGCATTGTTCTGCCTCCTGCAAACGCATTTGCTAGATTGCGACTCCACGTCAATACAGCCACCGCTGCACCACTCAAGGCCTAGCAACATGCTGAACTCGCTGTACACTTCAGCCTCCTACGGACGTATCCTTTGCATGCCGAAGAGAATGTTCCAATGCTCCATGGTGCCGAGCTCCGGTCGCTTTGGGATGGCCACGAACAGTCCGTCGTCCGTATACAAGCCCTTGCATGAGTACCGAATTCTTTGAGTTAGCAATTCCCCTCACCTCTGTGAGCTTTGCATAACTCTTTCGGTCGCCGAACAACCCATTCCACCTTACATGGTCTCGACTTTTGCCAAGCGCCTCGCTTGCTTTGAGCACCATCAAGTGTTGTTGTCAACGTTGAGCCGTAACTCAAACTCAGCCATCCCAACATTTGTGCGCTCCACATTCTTCCCAGCTTGCTTGTCCTCGTGGTGCCTTTGGCACGAAGGGTTGGCCATTCCTCTGAATGCCAATCTCAGATGCCCGCTCCTCTGAGCGACTCCTTTTCCCTACATCTCAATGTCCGTTTTCCCCAAAACGGTCGCGCGTGCTAGCTGCCCTCAACGCAGCCCCACTAGGTCCCCCACGTTTGCATGTCAAGTGTTTCTATGAGTGCTTGTCCCGCTCTGATACCATCTGTCACGGACTTAGCTGGTTTTGCCTAAGTCATGCGGCACCCTTGCGTGTCCGTCTGCAAAGGTCAGCCTCCCCGAAACCTCTCACGGTCCCTTAGGACCTACAAAAGAGAAAACGAGTTAGAAAAACGCCTCACTCGGGATCCACAAGCAAACAATCCAGGAAACACTTCATGGACAATGCAAATTACAAAGAGACTTTACAAGCTCAGAACAGTTGCACAACAAAGGTTAAAGATGATCCATTACAGACCGAGAATCTCTCACGCGTGTTCACATGACACAACCTTTATTTACAAGCCTACAATGGGACTCTTAGCCTTCGGCAGTCCCTCTACATGCTGTGCAGAGCATGAACAAACCAAAAGACACGGACATACATGAGCATTGCATCCAACATCCTGTTTCGAAGTTTGTCCGTGACAACACGGAGGATGGACTTGTTATTTAATTCCACAAGATAATGCAGGTGTGTTTGTCTTCATTACACGTTGGCCTCTTTATGTTATTTG